ATTCCTGCTAACTCAAGAGCCAACCCCCGCTGCCCCCTGCCAGCCCCACTCAAAATCTGGTGGGGTTTTATTTTTTTCATTTTTCTTATATTATCTTGTTTTTATTTAATTAAACCTGGAACACTATTCATCATTAAAACCATCTGTGGTAAGGTCTGCATGAGAGCTCAGACTAGCAGAACAGACCCTCAAGGCATTGCCAGGCCAGGTGTCCAGTCTGTCCAGCTTACTGAGCAGGGCACGGGGGTTTCAGATACAAGTCCACCTGTGCATAAGATGGAATATTCCTGTCCTTTGCCATTGTTTCTGAGGCGTATCTCCCCTGCAGACTTCATCAGAAGGGACATCTGTGTTTGTATGAGATTCTAGAATTCTTAGGTCCCTTGACGTAATACCATGTTATAGCACCTCTGGCACACCTATGATCTTACCTGTAACCTAGGGCGTGGTCTCATCAGGCCAAGTACTGGGATATGCAGTGTCTAGTGTTTGGGAGCAAGTACCACATAAATTAATAAAGCCCCCTCCACCCACTCAGAGACGTTTCTATTGTTCAGAACTCAAAGAACAATCAAGATTGCAGTGAGCTTTCACGAAAGGAGGACTTCAGTAGGGGAGGGAGTAGAAAAGCCTTGTCCGTGCTCCCCAATCCCAACTTCATTTCCAAGCACCTGCTCGTAAGCAGTGGGGGGAGAATCTTATGGGCAGAATTCTAAGAGAGAAGAGTCAAGAAGGCCCAACTCCAGCCTGCAGGAATGGGCAATGGTGTGTGATTGTGAAAACGCGTACCTGTGAAGTAGAATATGACTTTTTAAACTCAGGACTTAATTGCCATTTTTCTTTAGGGAGGGAAAACAAAACAAAACAAAGACAAAGATACCACAACAAGGCCATATATACTGTCAGTCCACAGCTACGAGGCAAAACTATCCATATTTTTACTGCAGGTAACATGGTTGCTGGGAGGAAACTGTGATTATCTTAACATTCACTACTACAAAGTTACTATGGGGCTTCCCTGGTGGCGCAGTGCTTGAGAGTCCGCCTGCCGATGCAGGAGACGCGGGTTCGTGCCCCGGTCCGGGAAGATCCCACATGCCGCGGAGCGGCTGGGCCCGTGAGCCATGGCCACTGAGCCTGCGCGTCCGGAGCCTGTGCTCCGCAAATGGGAGAGGCCACAACAGTGAGAGGCCCGCATAACGCAAGGAAAAAAAAAAAAAAAAAAAAAAAAAAAGTTACTATGAAAGTCTCCCTCTCTCTGAATGGGGCTTGAACCTGGATATTGTCTGACTCTCACGGCATGGTGAATGCTATGAGACAAAAAATTATCCCAGATGTTTCTAACCTAAAGGTCTCTGTATTTCTTTAAGTCATCCAAGACCCTAAAGGGTCACAACTACAAAAAATTTGGAGGATGGATCCTGGTAGACATGAGACTCAAAGCAACAGTATTTCACTAATCAGCCAAAAAGTTGGCAACTGTGTTTTGTTTTTCCCCATGGTACTAAATAGTTTCCTATCAAAACAACTAGAGAAATTAAAAAATGCAATACTCACTCGAGTTGTTAAGTTAAACTCAAGAGTTAAAACAGATTTCAAATCTGTGTTAGGTCAGAGAGTTTCCAGAGGTTCAAGTTCAATGACCTCTAACATGAGGGATAATTCCTTGGAAACACTAGAGAAAGGATACATCCCAACACTAAAACAAAGACTTATTATAATTGACAAGACTTCTTGTAATAAAAGCACATGAACAAAATAATGTTTTCCCCCCAAGGACATCAACTCTTTAACTCTAGAGAATCTTGTTTCTTGACCCAACTTTTCAACTTAACCCAGGATTCAGAACTTACCAATACATCGAGTCCTCCCATTGCCCACAAATCCGTATTTGCAAATACACATCTTCTTCCCTCCTCTTTGCAAGCAGGTAGCATGTTCATGGCAAGTGGCACAGACATCTAAAGCTGAATCATAAATTATATATATCAGGAAAAGAACATTTCAATCACCTACTCTAGGTGAGTCACATTTTGGGTAATAAACAGTTAAAATGGAGAATAAAAATTTGAATACCAAAATTATGAAGGGTAGACCTTATCCCATTCTTAGAAACCTTCAATGGCTACCCATTGCCCATGGAATAAAGTGCAAATCCCTCTACCTGGCAATCAATGCTCTTTTCCGTCTAACCCCAGACTAACTCCTGCTGCCTCACTGCTCCCAAACCCAAATACACACAGTGTTCTCCAGGCA